TGTTTCCATCTGCTTCCGTGGATGTGGATCAACGTTGCTCAAAGGTAACAGCTTTAACAACGCTATTGATTGATGGCAATAGAAGCGAAAGCCAAAGCACTTTAACTGCTGGTGCTAGTGTATTAAGCAAAAAGTACGAAGCCAGAGGAGTGACACGTGGTTCTAAGTTATGGACACCAACTACATAATTCCGCTGGGGAATTCAAGGGACCATGTGGTCACAGTTGAGTTCACATGTACAAACTACCGGGTGTTTTGTTAATGTGGTCCGGAGCTGGGAGCGGATGCACTCATGTGCTGACGTACAACCAGTACGCTGAATTGCGTGTCGCTGTGCCAGCAACTGAGAAAAACAGCCTGGCCGTATGTGGTGACCGGTCGATGGGCGCCGTATTGCCATCGCCACAAAAGGTGTGATCGCCTCATGACTGGCTTCCAACAAACCCGTAAGCTTTAATTAGGCTTCTTTCACTGTTAAAGGGAACTATACTGCCAGGAACACAGTGTAAGGTTGCAGTGCTGTTCGCTTTACCGTTTCGATCGCGTGTGTTACAGCTGAAAATTCACCCTTCATGGGTTCATAAAAACGAATTCTTGACAACACTCTTAGAATTCAGTTTGCCACGACGCAATGATGGCACCGTTAGGCAGCATACCAATTTAGCCATGAATATAAGTATTGCCCTCATAGTCAGGCAATTGCTAGTTGTACAAATTGATCAGGCCTTCGATAGTGTTTCCCATGTACAATCGAGAATATACATTTATTCACAAATTCAGCTATCTTCATTTTTAGCACTCCCGTCCGTTTCCCAGAATGCGAAACTCCTATAAAGAAGTCTTGTCCAACTGCCGCATACAGCTTGGACATCGAGTATTCACCCCCACCACCCAGGCTGGAGTTGGCATAGTCGCTGCAGGATAACAAGGAAAATGAAGACCCCAGGCAAACCTTTCCGCGGCATAATCTCACAGTTGTGAGCGTTGCTGTCAAACATCCTTCGCTACGGAGGAATTGCCCGACACAGTGAATTACTCCAATAAAGTTGTTTGTAATAAGTTGTGATGTGTCTCTTATTAGCCCGCTACAGTCTCCATCTGACACATGAGTTCGTCCGCATACGCGAACAAATGCGTGCTATGGAGTTGAGGGTAGGCTCCTGGATCGCCGCTTGGTCAGTGACAGGACAGCTGTCAATGGGCTCAGTCGATGAGCTCCTTACGCTGAACATGCGGCTGGAGAAACGCGAAGACATGGAGAACTTAGTAAGGACAGAATTCATGTATGATGTTCCAGATGGCCTATTTCGAGCAACTGGGCGGAAACTCCTTGATGGAATTCGTCAGGAACTTACTGTTAGCAGTCATGACGAACGCATTTGCAAGAAAAGTGAACTGGCGAGGAGTTCACGCAAGCAACGAATTTCAAGCACGCCCTTGGCCCGTGTTATTATCGGTAAGCTGTGCTGTTGCATAAAACATCAGTTTCAGACGCTGTAATGTGGAAGTGTTGCGCCGAATGCATTGAAAGTATCATCACCCATAATATTCGCCGTTGGATACACCGAATCAAAGAGGGAGAAGATTACTAACCGAACTCGCATGCAACACCCGGGCCTAGTACAAAAACGCTGTAGTAGTGCTTTTCATTACAATTTCCCTAGCCTTCTGGTATTCTTGTATCAAAAGTTGTGGGGGTATATTGCTTCGTTCTACAGCGACGTAAAACAGCTGCTAGCGTGCGTGAAAATTTGGTACAACGAATGCAGATAGCCCCACAGTTGGGTCAATGACCAACATTTACATCCCTCACGAACGTGTTCGTGCTACAGCGGAGCGTGTGTAATGCACGTTGAAGGATTAGGGGGTTGCAGCGCGATAGTGGAGTATGTGGTACCTGAGCTCGATACTTTTATAGGTGATAATAATTTAGGGCGCCTAAGAGTGTGTACGTGCGCACCCCCTGTAGGGATCATAGGATTGCATTAAAAGCGATACAGATATAGATAGCACTGTAACTTGCACATGAAAGAGATGACGATTTTGTGACCCTTCGGAGCTTTATTCTGAGGGTGAAGTAAATTGTGTTCGAAGGTCACATGGTATTGTGCGGAAGGAAACTTCAATACCCCAATTCAACTTATGGTATGCGAATTCTAGCGTCGATATTGTGGTTGTGGAAACTCCCCTTTGCCAAGGATTCAACAACAGTGCAAGGTCTCCGGACATTCAAACTCAGCTCACCAAATACTTAACGAGACCTTTGGCAAACTTAGGCACTGACGTAATGGGCCGAGCAACCAACACTTCATCACAAGAACAAAACATACCGGTGGTTATCCGTTACCATATTAAATATTCGGTAGTTAGTTAAAGCCATGATTAAAAAGTGACTTCGATATTCGGAGCATGTTCGGTGTTGCTAGCTCCCAAAATCACACTCCACGAACAAGTTTGTCCTCAGTTGGATTCGTCAGGTAGAAATAGCCGCAGATGTAAGTGAAAGTCGTGACAAACTGGTTGACGATAGAAAATTTAATGGATCTCAATAGTATGGTGGTCAAGGCGGCGCGCATTGAAAATTATTGTTACGATTCTTACCTCTATCGGCGACTGATGAATCCGAACAAGGAGGAAACCGGTGGAAGCGAGAAACACCGATTATCCTTCACTTCACACACGGTCTAGCGAATGGAATGACCGAAGTCTACTTTAAAGTAAATGGAGGTCAGATTAGAGGGTGCGTGTCGCAATCCAACCACATAGCTAGTATTCTAAAGCGCAACCTTGGCCCGATCCCCGTGTAAAAGATACGAGTTGCCAGAAAAAGCAGTGGCTAATAGCGAGCCTCGTATAGGAATCAGGAACATAAAATCGGTAAAATCACTCAATAACATGTTGAAGAAGAAGTTAAAAGCCGTCCAGTTTCCGGTGGGAGCTGGGAATGATAAACCGTTATCTGCTCATCCCGCCAGAGTAAAAGTGGTACACGGCTTGCTTGAGGTGCTAGTTAGGTGGTCAGAGTCTATCCCGTTCCATTTAATGTTTCTTAGGCAGTCGCTATAGGATGTGACGAGTGTTCGCCTGACAAGTGCTTCCTCTAAGAAAGTCAAAAATGTCGGTAAAACAACAGTGAAAAAAGAAGAAGAAAGGCATCAGCAGTACACAAGTACGCAGTACAGATGCCTCGCTGTAGCGCAACCACCATTAGTTGCACGTGGGCTAAAGATACTTCGAGGGTCGCCCTGTCCATATACAAGTTCAAATTAGAGCCGTCAGATTACAAAGCCAGCTTGTTAACTTTAGACTACGTGCTGGCATGTGACCACCCATTAGTTTATGTCTCTAATTTTTGCTTCACCCTGGTGGAGCAGTGTAGTCTAGTGCAGTAATTCAAAAAACCAAAAGCATATGAACCGAAAAATTAGTCAACAGCTTCCAATGTGTGCTATTCTCCGACTACGCTCCGCTGCCTTGCGGGGTAGGGAGGAAACAAAGGTGCGAACGGAATTATTGGTTGTGGCAAATATCAGCAACCATATTCATCGGCTCCGACCATCACAGGTTGCATTAATAGGAAGTCATCTGAACAAACCAGACATTGCTATTACGTTCGATTTTTGTTATATAACAAATATACCTTCCGTTGCTTTCCATGGCATTTGATGGCTCCATGTTTATTTGCTGACTGCAGAACGAATATACATAAAAGTGGTGCATATGTTTGTACCACATGCAGCAGCAGCCAAACTCGTTTCAATAATGAAGCTTCCGGGAATAATTTTTAAATCCGGTTTAATGCAGGCTTGTAATGGAAAACGCTTAGCTAGCGAAATGCGAAGGGCAGGCCGCTTACAGACGACTTGGAAAAGCCTGTCCTATGGTGCCATAGTTCATGCAAAATTATCCACTCACCGGAACGGAGATAAGACCATCGATCTCACCCCAATAACCGCCGGAAACGTATATGAGCCTTCTGTTGCTAATTTAATGAATTCATGAAACTGGTTATCCCGAGATTCCTTCATACATTCGTATGCTTGGTAATGCGGGGACCAAACATCGTGTTCTCGAAAGTGATTGGTTGTTTTGGGTTATGTACACATGACATTCTCCTTAGGAGTTGAAACAAGTGTACGAACAATCATATTGCCAAATCTGTTTGTTCCACTAATGAGCTGTTTTTAGATAAAAACAGAAGAAGACCAACAGAAGAAAACCAACTTTTGGTCTCTAATAAGACTTAGTAAATCTCCGAACGTTCAGGCAGGCCAAATTGGAGAAGCAGACTAACGGACTCAGAGAATTTTTCGCACATGATATTGGGTGCCAATGGCCTGCCTGCATTCGGCTGCTTGTATCTGGTTGTTTATTCTCGTTCTATTTTGATCGCTCCCACTTATGGGGTCGTGTACCGTCTGTTGGTAAATATACAAATTTATTTATTTTATAGGCTAACGCACCTCCTTCTTGCATCCATTTTCCCTACAATCTATTTGTATCTTGCCGTTATTATTTATTTTACTCTTGCGGTGTTAGTCGTGACAACTGGATCCACCGCAGTTCGGTGATCGAATCATAGTTGTCTCACTGAAATGAACTGAACTGATGGGATACTGGGGACGACTGCAACAGGCATTATGTCTGCACATCAAGTTCACTAGTGATAGCTTTCGGAAAGCTACGGATAGTCACTTACCTAAAATGCACTTGATCGTGTGCTTTCATACAAATTGGTTATAAAAAACCGTTACTTTCCTATTCACACCTACGATGATGCAATTGGCATCCTAGTTCGATGTAAGACGGTGGCCCGATTCCTTAACGATGCATGTGGCTAGCATTTACATGCAAGAAATACACACACGAAATCGCATTGATAGTTGGAACATGTTAACTGCTAGAGTACAGGCCAGAAGTAAGAAAGAAGCTTCGGCTGCGCAACGATAAGTAACAAAGGGTGAGATAAAATCGAACGGCAGTAAAGGAGACTAACGTGCCTGGGTAACGGGTATATGAACAAGTTTGTCAGATACGTCTGGAAAATCATCTTCGTCAGTTGTGGATGGAGAATTGGAAGCAGAATCTGACAGATGAGGAAGGATTCCGTTTTGTACATCGGTAATAGAACGCTGAGATGAGGAGAAAAAGGACAAAAATATCAAGAATAAAAAAGCCAACGAGCACTTTTATAGACGTTTACTGTAGGTAGAGCAATCGAACGAAAAAGGAGGAAAACGGCTAATACAGGGGCAACCCTGTTCAGAAGACTGGCATGGTTCATTGGGGACTGCTAATGATTGTTACTCAATTAGGTTGACAGAATGTCAGAATGCGTTGGCGCTGGGAATTGGTGAAGAGTTAAGGGAGTCGAAACAAACTATGGTGTGTCAGTATTTCGAAAATCTACGTAACGGTAGCAACAGTTGAGAGGGAAAGCGTTGACGTAGTGAGCAAACAAGGTGAAGCGGGAAAAAGAGTAAAGTGCCACAAGATGTTAATGGTCATGAAGAAGAGACAGGGCCTTGACGGAGTGAAATGGTTCGTGCGTTCGCGAGATCAAATCAGTTATGTTATGTGTACTCAGGGCCGACGATACTAGACAAATAGGTCAAATGAACCTAGTCTTAATATCATCCTCATGGAAGGACAGGAGTGGGTAATAACGATCCAGAAACCTCACGCACACCCAACTAACCTACAGAGTGTGTCGGGTCAGAATGATGTGGAGCAAATGCGCCACTGGCTATCTGTGACAGCGGAGTAGCAACTTTGATCACTGGTTCGATAGAAGCCACTCTGTATCAGAAAGCGCTTATAAGGCAACGAGCAAACAAAACAAAACAAGTATACTAGCATGAAGTTAGCAACGGATGTAAGTAGAAAAAACAAATCGTTCAGTATTCTTCAAGGCCGCATTCGACCGGCATCGAGTTAACCCCATACGTTAAATATGCACTCCACCGACTGGGGGATAAGGCCGCTGAGACAAAAGCTAGGGTGGGGTGCAAAGCAAGTCATAGCTTACTATGATGTTCCGTGGTTCAAACTACTGAACGAGAAAGTAAAAGTAGTTCATTCACAATACAATTTAGCTTGAGGTGAGAAATACCTAATACCTTATGTACTGCAATACAATACAGTAACAATACAAAAAATAGTGCAAAGTACAGGATAGAAACAAGTGGCGTCATGCATTTTATAATGGCGCATCGACCACAAGAGGGGGCTAAACGGAATGAAGGAGAACAAAGGAAATCAGAGCACAATAGCCACTGAAGCAGGCTCCTAGCCGTGTCAACAACTGTACTTAACCAAACGGGTTCAACGTCTTCTGAACTTCGAAACAGGAGGCTCCGACCGAGATCAGGTTACAAGTTAGACATAAATCCACTAGACCTAGTCATCAGTTGGGCTCCCCCATCTTCCATCCAGGTCACAGTGGCGCAGACGAGGCACGTCGCGGGTGTCGGTGCTGGCATGCCTTACACGTGACCCAGTCATCGGGCCTCGGGCGTGAAATACAAGTTCTGAGCGGTTTATTCGCTTTTCATCTAACAAACAGGGTGCAGAACTCGCTCATTACGGTTAGGAGAATAACTATTAAAGCTTAATAGCCACTCCTTATTCTTCCCATTTCCTACTTCTTGATGGTTGATTAAACGCTCCACTTTGTTAGCCCGATTGGTACACACACGTCATTATTAATGAACGCTCATCTCCGTGTCATCTTCAGCAGTGCCCTTTGCAAGAACACATTGCATTGGTTTTTTTCCGCATCACTATTTTACTTGGTTATGTTAGAGGAATATTTAGTTGTCAGACAATTATTGTAAATTTTAATTTTTTGAGTCTACACTTTTTATTATCGTTTATTTCGTGATCTTTGTTTAAACGCTACATTTCCTTATTCTGCTTGACCGGTGCCGGTCACTTTACTTGGATCTTCGCTTTACGCTTGGGGTCCTATGATGCTATTTTTAAGGACATATACGATTGGCTCTTGAGTGCACGGTTGCCTATTCGCCGTTGCATTTGACGTTTTCCTTCTGTTGGTTGGCTCAAGTGTAATTTAGTAGCCTCCCTTCATTTTGCCTTCAAAACTGTATAAGCAAATGTGATTGCATGCATACAAGACTCTTTCCGGCTCGTCTTTGGATGGTGGTGACAACAATTACTTACACGGTATTCCCACTAAACGTCAGTCGAATTGTGAAGGAACCGGTGGCTGGAGACAACTAACCTCTTAAGATTTGTTCACTTGATGAATCAGATTGCACAACCGTAAAGGAGGGTCAAATGGATGGGGACTCCACTCTTCATTGCGAGAGTGATGACGCATCGGTGCCACAGGTAGAGAAATCGAGAAAAACGGCTAGAGCTATACGATTCGTAATATCATCTATTTCAAAGGTGCAAATAACGCTGCTAAGGTAGTGAAATTTTTGAACGTCTGGTTGATACTCACGTTTCTGTCAATCATGAAAAAATGTGTTGCATTTGGAGGGTGCAAAGTATAACGCAAAACGATTGACAGCCATATTTAAATTGTCCAGTAAAACTTATTATGTTGGGGAGCCGTCACAGTTAAGGGAAGTAAAATCCGCAGAATATAAAGCAAGAAGTCAATAACCAGGACACCACTGTACAAATACCAAATAATGTTCAGTAAACGCGGTTTTACCACTTTCAAAAAAGAAAAGATGACAGAGGGCATCCATGTGTCACATGGGCGGAGAAATCGAAGGGCGGTGACAGTTTACAAAACTAATGGATCTGCCCGAACTTGGTGCGTACAGCATTCTCATAACAGTGCCATATATATCGACCGCACTTTTACTGAATAAACAATCCGAAAAAGTACAGCGATCCACTGTACCGAAGGCATATTTGATGTTGAGGAACACGACAACGGTGGGTCGCCAATAAACAGGCGGTGATTCAACAACTGATATCACGCTAAGATGTGGCCAATATATCCCCGACCTTTACGCAAAACGGCTCGCGCCTTTAGAATTTGGCTTCCAAGAGTGATAGCTGGTCTACGGAGGACAACAGAGGCAAGCCACTTAAAAGCAATATAGAGCAGAAGCGAGGACGGATGCATACATACGTATATATGTATATATATATATATATATATATATATATATATATATATATATATATATATATATATATATATATGGTTGGCGGCATCCGGTTTCGGATTGGCCTGTCACTGTGGCAAGCCACAGGACGCCTGCGCCTACAGAGGGACCATGGGTGGCTTGCGCTGCACCACCCACAACTCCAGCCACACACCCCATATCCAGTGTAAACCCGAAGGAATAAGACCGCGAGGCATGTGGATAGGAGCCACGTTTCGTCATCGGAGCCGGCCCACACTCCTTCACAGGCAAACACAAACACACTGTATTTGGGAATCAAGCGCACACAAGGCGGTGGCTGGACCATAGTCCGCTCCACACTGAGTGCATGGAACCGCTCTTTGAGCCTAGCACGGCCACAAGAACCGTGCACCCCCCCCCCCCCCCAGCAACGACCAACTGTCTCCTGGAGCCAGTATGAACGATGTAGTGGGTAATAGACAGGTAGGCACCTTGTCAACATACACATCAAGCGCAACCATACCAGGGATATCAAACAACAGCCATTCACTTTAAACGACAAGCTGAAATTAAATAAATCCAATAATGCATACAGATACGGTGACATAACTCTTCGCTAAATTACAATATGAAGTAAGTTGGTTAGCAACAAATCCGTGATAAGTAAGAAATGTCCACAAGTTACTTAAAACGCTACAAACGCAACAAAATTACCGAAGATAAGCGCAATTAGTGTAAGCAACGTGGAAAGTTAATAGAACATTATTCAGGGAGGCAGAACAAACCAAATAAAGCGGAATGAAATTTAGCCAGCTTAAAAGACCTAGTTAAAGTGTAAGTTGGTTTAGCCCAACTGCGGTGAAGAAGCATCAAGAATGCAACATCAGCCTCAGCATGGGGCATATATATATATATATATATATATATATATATATATATATATATATATATATATATATATCGCGGGAGAGTCTATGGTGCGCTGAGGCTGGTCGTGGCTAGATCCTGACAGATGGTCTACCCACTGCTGCTAATGTTGTGCCATAGTCTCGTGTCCTGGGCGCCTCCACGTGGCGACCGCTGGGTGGGAGTTGGGTTTCGCCCTTCTCCTTGCTAAGATCCAGGACACCAATCCGCATGAGTCGGCTAACTGACCATGTGCTAGACCCGCTGCCTTTCGGGTGTTCACTTTGGCTGAGGACCCGAGTCGTTCTCCTGTCAGGATTGGGCGCCCTGGCAGCATCCTAGTCCATCCTCACCGGAGGTTAGGAAGTGGTCGATGGCCCACTTCCCGTAAAACCTAGCCATGGGAGACAACAGGTTTACGGGTTATATTCTCAATGCTCGATTGGCGTAGAGCACGAGTGCCACGCATTGTCTCTGACGGTGGGAGGACACCTCCGGGTGTTCAATGGTTTGCTACTGCCCGCCTCAAGCCAGGCAGCCCCTGGTCAAATTGGTGCAAACCCACCAAAAACCCACCTGCGTCTGGCCGTGCGTATCCAATTACGGTCGCAAAACATATGATAATTGTTCCAGAACCTCAAAGGCTGCGTGTGACGTCCGTCAAGTAGATCCCCATCTGTCTCTGCAATCACATTCCCGAGCTGGATCTGCTCTCCACTGCCTTGTGCGTCAGGCTCTTGAGCCAAAGGCTCCGGGCGGAGTCCCTCAAGCAAACCTCCAAACCACCCACTGCCTTGTGGGTCAGGCTATTGAGCCAAAGGCTCCGGGTGGAGTCCCTCAAGCAAACCTCCAAACCACCCACTGCCTTGTGGGTCAGGCTATTGAGCCAAAGGCTCCGGGTGGAGTCCCTCAAGCAAACCTCCGAAGGACAACGACCACCTCGCGTGCGATTGCCCACCAATGCAATCGTATGCCCGCGCGCAAAGCACTCAGCATCGGGTGCTGGAACGTGCGCACACTACTGGACCGGAACTCCAGCGAGCGCCCGGAGCGACGCACTGCACTGGTCGCAATGGAGCTGGCGCGCTACCACATCGATATTGCGGCGCTCAGTG